TGCTGGTGCCCAGCGTGTCCTCCAGCACCAAAGCACGGCTCCAAGGCCCCGCTGCAGGGTCCCCTCACAGCTCAGCTCTGCCGCACGCTTGTACGGGTCAGGTCCAAAGGGTCCTCAACCCACCTCTCGCTTTTATCCGCGTTCATCAGCTACAGCAGACACCCGAGCCAGCCCCGCCCCCCGCAGCAGGAGCTGCCCGTGCACTGCCAGGACGGACACAAGTTCTGCTGTTCACAGTGAGCTGTTTCAAACAAGGTCTTTCCTGTCAGGACCCTGCACCCGGATGCCAGATGGCACCAAAATGCCACTCCCAGTTCCCATTCTGGACTGAAAGACATTTATGCAATTTTCTGTATTCAAAGAGCAAGTCTTACAGAAGTTTTTCTTTAGTCTGGATTTAACTATTCAACAGTTACAACAGACACTGAAGAGAGTTCATTTTAAAACAGCAGACTTGTAAAATGCATTAACACAGGTTTTAGCTTTTTAAAGAAAAAAAGTTCAGTTTTTAAAAAAAGGAGGGAGAAGTCGTAGAAAAGCACAAACACTTCAAACAGGCTTATTTACAGAGACAAATCCAACAGTCAAGGTGATTCTGTGTACACACAACATTCATAAAACCAAACATGCTACATGGCTCCGTAACAGCAGTTTGTAGAACAATCAGATGTCAAGGTAACACACCTTATTTCCTACAGTCTCAGTGCAATGAGTTGAAGTTTACAGCTAAATAACTGAAGTATAGATTTATATATTCCAGACCCCTATTCCACAGATAAATCTGGTATATGCATCCAAGAAAAGCAAACAGATTCAGTGAGACAATGGGATTATGATCTTCTGCCCCAATTTTGGGTATGCACCCCCAGCTATGACCATTCTAAATTAGCTAACTGTTCTCCTTCCAAAGGTTCAGTAGTAACAAGCCTCCAAGAGCTTAAGCTTCTAGAACTGCCATGGCCACAAGCCCAGTGAAACAACACAGTTACAGACATCACACGTTACAGTCTGGCCGTTCCCCGAGTTGAGCTCTTTAGTCACGGGGCCTCCTAGCTTGGTGAAGACACTTAATAAGCTCTGTACATCAAAGGTTAGGCAGGATCTTCCACCTAAGATCAGCTGCAGGCTGCAGAACTCTATCAGCACAGCAAGAGACACAAACCCACGGCAGCTGCCAGTGTGACATTTTCACTTCATCAGAGTGCCAATTAAAAAAAAAAACAGTGAGCAATACAATTTCTATTATCTTAATCATACGTTAACTCTCACAACTGTTCCCAAGGAAACGTCTTACAAGGGTGAACAGTGGTTAAGCATTCATTCATTTTTCTTCTCCTTGTGCTTGAGAAGTTTGTTAATCTCCCTTTTCGCCATTCCAACATACTTTGTAATGATCCTGTGCTGGTTTAGTCCAGGAAACAGCAACAAGACGCTTACTGGAGATAAAGAAAAACAAAAGGAATTACTTAATAGTCTTGTAACAAGCTTCTGTCACCTTGCAATTCCTTGATTCTCTTGAGCACCACTAACTGCTTGAAAGTACTTCTACCAGCCTCATACCATTTCAGGCAGCTAGCAGAAGAAGTTACTTGTGGTTTGCAGGCTGCACACTTACCAATAAAATAGGTCAGAAGGAGATTGTGAACTTGCTGTCCAATCCAGGCAACCACAGCAAGTGAAAAAACCATGGTCATGAAGTACTAAAAGAATGAAAAGGGAACAGTTACCACAAACCCGTTGGGAATTCTCACACTTCCCTTCAGTATCTAGCAACACTTTAACATTTAAAGCTAACCTGAAGTTTGCTGGCTCATCCACACGCGATACCTAGGCAGTGGCTTGTTAAAATGGAGGTTAGAGCCTACATGTTCTCATCTAACTTCAAACCATCCATTTTACAAGATGCCAGTTCTCTTCCATCCAGATATCCCTTCCAGTGAGATTACATCATCCCCATTGACACAACTTCAGCCTCATACCGTACCTGAGGTTGTTTTCAGGACAGGAAATTCAGTAGTTCACATACCCAAGACGACACATCACTAAGATTTAGATTTTTGGACAGTTCGTGTACACTAGAACCAAGGTGTTACCCAGTTTAGCTTTATCTTACTATCAAGGGGATGCTCCTACATGCACAGTATTGCAAGTCTAAAGTCATGTATCTTGCTACTCCAGGTCTGAATAAGATACGTGGCTGGCATTAGTTCACAGCCAGAGCTGCTGGTTCTGGTTTGAAATACCAGTTTATTCAGACACGTGCCTTGCTAAAGTACTTAAGACAAAACAAAGCTTTAAGACAACGGAGGTGAACTCCCAGAACTCAATACCATTTTAGGTTTCTCCTCCTTCAGCGTGAAGAGACGTTTCCACCAGCCAACAATTCGGCGACGAGACTTCACCAAATTGCTGCAAATCTCATGAAATCTTTGCTGCTGTTCTGTAGTCCTTTTAATAAAGAAAAAAGTCAGAATTAAGAATTCAAGATTTCATTTGAAATTTAAGAAATCTCCTGTGGTATTTTTCCAGCAGTAAATTTTCTCAGTAGTTATCCTGGCGTTTGTTTCACTTAGACTTACACCTTCCCTTTCCTGAGCACTGCAATGCAACTGCTCAGCTCATTTTGCCATACACTGACTCCCAAAGAGCGACTGCATTCAAACCAGAGGACCATCGGTTTTAATCTGCCACCCATGTGATTCACACAAGTAATACCCACCTGATACCAGTGTGTATTACTTTGGCTTTTATGTTGGTTCATTATTAGGCAAGAACATTTATCCACTCGTCATCTAAAAGCAGACACACAAAAATTTACTTTCCACTCTAAATTTAGGTGAAATAAGGTTTTTCTCCTTATACAGGCCTTGCCCTTTTCAAATCCATTTAATTCACTTACAAACACATTCATACCCTGTATTACTCTTTTCCTTCATCGTATTTACTACTGCAATGCCTTCCAAACATATAATCTAATACCCTTCACAATTTTAGCTCTCAGTACCTATTATGCATTGATTATTAAAAACCAGTTTAGCAGAACCAAAATCCTTAACAGAGAGCAAAGAATGTTCCTACTCCTTTGAAAAAAAAAAATCTTATTTTTCTAGAAGATAAACATATGTTGTGGTAGTCGTCCTTCATTCTTTTTCTGAAAGATACCTTGCATGTGTCCTCATTTCATATATTACAGAGATTACTGACTTTTTACAATGACGACTCCACAAAGTCATCATTTGATATTTTCAAGTCAAATAGCCATTTTCATAGAGTTCATCACTTATTTATACTCAAGAAACTGTTTTATTTCAAACTTTCCTCACCATTTATTAGAGCCAAAGATTCTAGGTGCGAGAGCAGGAACAAGATAATCAGCCAAGCAGAGGAACATAACGAAACAGGAGAGGCCTGAAAGAACTGATGGGTCCAAGTAGAAGATCATCCTGCAGAAAGAAGATAGTGGAAATTATTCCTGGGTGCTCAGGTGACTGAATAGTTGACATATTTAATCACCTCTTCAGATTGGCTCAGACCTTCAAACAGTAGACCAATCTCTTAAAAAAAATTTCAAATTTCCTCCTATTACTAATGAAAAGATGTTTAAGTACTTCAACACTATGACAAAGAAATATAGATTAGACAATACAATTTTCTTTATGTACTAGATAAGAAAAAGCCACAATACAGCAAGCATAGTATGAAGTTCAACAGTACAAGTCCATCATTATTACTCTCTCAGAAGTGGGTATCAAGTGAACTTCACACCGAGCAGTGGATGAGGATGAGCGCGTGAGCATATGAAATAACTAGGTAGAGTGAAAGCTCGGACCCTGTTGGTTCCTAAGTCAGAGAATTCAGCTCCACTATGGGCTGTCCTTTGCTCTGCCTCACCTGTGAGAGGTTACTAAACCTGTTTTGGACAAGGAGCCATTGAGTTCCAGTTAGGACAGCTCTTTACCAAGGAAGTGTGCCAGCCAGGAGCGAGCTCAGCTCCTGAGTGTCTGCTCACACTCAGCTGTGCCCCATGCTATTTATTTGCACATAACAGAATTTACTGAACACTGAAGTAATAATAATAAAAAAAAAATACCCAGCCCATTGCAGGGCCAGTGTGGCATAGTGCTACTGTGTTCAGTGTTCAAGTTTAGTTTTGATGAATTCAGAATCTGAAGTAGTTCTCTCTGTTTCTTGCAAGTATTACTCAACACAGGATCTTTCCCACTATAATGGCAGCATTTTTAACAGCCTGAGTTCATGCAATTACTTCTTTTAAAAGAAGTTACTTTCCAGTTTTATTCAATTCACTCTCAACTCCCTTGAAGACCAGAAAATTTACATTACACAGGAGACTAATTATTCCTGCCTCATGTTCAACATTTATTCTTGAAACTCCTCTCTTCTCCTTACTCCAAAAAGGCATGCAACTGGCAAACTCCACAGCTGGCACAGACATTTATCTGCATAAGGCAGGCTGAGGTCATCTTGATTACTACCAAGGTATGTAAAAGCATCTACAAGTCCCTCCAGCATGCCAGTTCTGCATCTCCAATCCAGAGATGGGCAACATCCTCCCAACCTGCAGACTGAAAGTTACCATCAGCCTTTCCTCTTCCTCCTTTCACAAACGACAGGACAAAAAAGTAAAAAACCAGGTTGTGCAAAAGTGATTGAGCTCATCCTGAACACCACACCAAAGATGCAGAACAGGAAGTTTGTCCTACAGAAACAAGTTTTCCATAATGAAACCGCTGTTGGTTTGGGGGAAAAAGCCAAAGTAGATAACCAGTTGAACTAAGAAGCAGGATACAAAGGATGATGGTAGAATATGAACACACCAACAATGAACATACAGCTGAGCACGATAAAAAACCTACAGCAGCCACTGCTGGCAAACAGCTCTTGCAGCAAGCACTGCCCTCCCCCTCTGAGCAGGACAAGACTCGTGTTACTTCCTCTTCTCAATACTTACGGTTGTTCTTTTCAACAAAGTTCACACGCATTCAGAAAGAGAACACAGAGTAAGAGCCTTCCTATTAAAGATGTTTTACTAATTTACTTAATAGGTTTGCCACTGGAGATGAAAGTGCAATGGCATTCTAGGCTCCCTCCAGGAGCTACTTACAGGAAGGAAAAGGAGACAACACTCATCAGGGCCAGAGGAAACCAGGCTCTCTCCCAGCGAAGAACTTTGTCGGTCAGCAAAATCACTTCTCCCCATCCTTGTAACTGCTCTTCCAAGCTAGCAGTTTCTGCAGCCTGCACAAAAAGAAAATTCTTTTATTACTAACCAGAGCATCAAATTCATCTCCATACTCAAAGAAGCTAAACAAAAGCAATAAAGACCCCAGTCACAAACCTGAGTAATTAAATTATTAATAATATGGTAAGTTTTGTATTAAGTTATGACACTGTAGCACTGATACTTTAAAATAGCCAAGATCCCAATTAAGTAGTAGCACATGTTATTAGACCAAATGATACTTCCTCCCAGATCCTGACAAAGTATTTTCACCTGATCTCCCATTTATGGTGCTCCCCCTCCCTAGGCTAGTAGAAATTCAGGTTTTAAAGCTTCAAGTTCTAAAACCTCAAGTTTTCAATGTCAACAAGTGAAAAACTGCAACATAAGAACAATTTTAAAGATATGTATTTTCAAAGATAACTCCACCACATTAAACCAAAGCTTTCTTGCTGCTGTCCAGCACCAATTCTTTTATTATGTGTGAGATGAATAAAATCTCAGAATTCACAGTAAAGTTACCCAACTGATCACATCTGGACTGCAAAGAGAGTCTTTCCACAGGTTGCCCAAGACAGTAATCAGGCAGCCTTTAAATTCCCCTTCCTGTACTATTCCTACATCCCTCACTACACACCTTCAGCAAGAAGGCCCTATCAAGGATGGCACTGGCTTGCTGAGCAGTTCACCTGAGGTGTTCCACGTTTAACACAGCTTAATAGTTTCCCCTCAGTGGGACAAGGTATCTTGGAGATTACAAAACTCAGGCAGCCATGAACAGAACCAATCACCACCCAAGTACTAAGAGGTGAAAATTTGTCATCAAGACCTGCACATGTGCTGGGCAGAGACAGCAGACCAGGCTTCATTCTCAACTGTGCACTCCACTTTAAAGAGAAGCCTGGCAGCCCTAGAATGATGAAGCAGAGCACAGCTATCTCCATAAAGCATAGTTTTCTCATGTGATACTGCTGGAAACTATTTGAAAACTACATTTCGGGTTTAAAAAATAAATAGAAAACTGACATGCTACAAGGCTTTAGTAGAAAATCTGACATGCTGCTGTACAACTTCCAGTTATTTTGTCTATTTCATTCAGGCTATAGACACAAACTGTCACATTTAGGGGAAAAAAAAAATATCTTGTGGAGAAGTGTGGCTTTTATCACTAATTGTCTTGCTTTATTACCTTTGGCTGCCTACATTTAACATCACTAAAAGAAAATTTAATGGAAAACAGACCAGAATATAACTGTTATTAATAGCAGCCTGCCTCTGTGGCCCGAGAAGACAATTACTCGAACTTGTTGGGCAGCTAAAGCTGAGAAAACTTAAGTCGGCTTTTGTCAACACCATCTTCAGTCCAGAACCCATCCAACAAAAGTGTTTTTTTATTAATCAAACAATATAAAATCCCATAAGTATGAACTTCTGCTTCAAAAGGGGCACCACTGCCAAACACTGCACATATTTCCGGCAGTATAGTCCCAAGAGCTTTTGCTGCGGCAATTCAAAGCTCCCTTCCTGCGGCCCGGGCAGCTTCTCGCGGTGTCTCCCAGGATGCGATGCAGGGCAGGGCACTGCTCAACAACGCGCTCGAAACCTTCCTTCCCTCCCTCCCTGCCTCGCTCCGCGTGTTCTTACACCGATTTTTCATTTCCCACGGCAGCCATTGACGCCGCTACAGAGATAAATAAAGACACCCTCGTATTTAAGTTTTTCAATATTCAAGCCCACCCTTGCCGTGTTTAAGTTAAGCGGCTCATCCGGCTCGTGCCCCGGTCCGGCGCGGCTGAAGCGCTCTCTAACACAGCCCGGGGATGTTCAAAGGCCAGACGGGAACGTTACACCCGAGCCCCCGCAGGTAAAGCCTGCTC